TTTTTATTTGGCCAATCGTTTCCGAAAGGTCGTAGTGCGTTCGAGAATGCGTTCGAGACACTTCCACGAGGGAAGCGACGCTACGGGGCGGTGTGCTAGTCAGCACATCTCTTCAAGCCTAGCTCCCAAATAGGGAACCCCCCTCTTGCCCAAGTCGGGGCCGGGGAACATAGACACACCCATTATTAAGCGTCATAGATTCGAATTTTTGGCACTTCGTTCCCAACTCGTGTGGAAACCAGCACCGGCAAGGAATCCCCAAAATAGGAGATCCCTCGTGTATCAGTTATAAACCGATAATGATCCTTTCGCAGGTTCACCTACGAAAACCTTGTTACGACTTTTACTTCCTCTAAATGATCAAGTTTGGTCATCTTTCCGGCACACCGGCTCGACCACGAAGGCCAATCCGAGCGCCAGTCCGAAGCCCTCACTAAATCATTCAATCGGTAGTAGCGACGGGCGGTGTGGACAAAGGGCAGGGACGTAATCAACACGAGCTGATGACTCGTGCTTACTGGGAATTCCTCGTTCATGGGATCAATTACAGTTTCCAATCCCCAGCACGAAGGAGGTTCAACGGGTTACCCAGTCCTCTCGGACAGGGAAAGCACACGCTGATTCCTTCAATGTAGCGCGCGTGCGGCCCCGGACATCTAAGGGCATCCCAGACCTGTTATTGCTCTGTCTCGTGCGGCTAAACGCCGCTTGTCCCTCTAAGAAGAACGTCCCACAGAAGATGATGGGAACGTCTATTTAGTAGGCTAGAGTCTCGTTCGTTATCGGAATTAACCAGACAAGTCGCCCCACCAACTAAGAACGGCCATGCACCACCACCCACAGAATCAAGAAAGAGCTCTTAATCTGTCAATCCTTCCTGTGTCCGGGCCGGGTAAGTTTTCCCGTGTTGAGTCAAATTAAGCCGCAGGCTCCATTTCTGGTGGTGCCCTTCCGTCAATTCCTTTAAGTTTCAGCTTTGCAACCATACTTCCCCCGGAACCCAAAAGCTTTGGTTTCCCGGAAGCTGCCCGGCGTGTCATTTGAGGAACACAGCCGGATCGCTGGCTGGCATCGTTTATGGTTAGAACTAGGGCGGTATCTGATCGCCTTCGAACCTCTAACTTTCGTTCTTGATTAATGGAAACATTCTTGGCAAATGCTTTCGCAGTAGTTCGTCTTGCGACGGTCCAAGAATTTCACCTCTAGCGTCGCAATACGAATGCCCCCGTCTGTCCCTCTTAATCATTACCTCGTGTTCCGAAAACCAACAAAATAGAACCGAGGTCCTATTCCATTATTCCATGCACAATTATTCAGGCGTCATGCCTGCTTTGAGCACTCTAATTTTTTCAAAGTAAACTTGGCGGTCACCCGAGACAACCGGTGAAGATCATCAAGAATAACCGCCTGAACGATCGGCAACGAACAGTAACCACCGGTAGGCGGACCGTCCGGCCGGATCTGAGATCCAACTACGAGCTTTTTAACCGCAACAACTTTAATATACGCTATTGGAGCTGGAATTACCGCGACTGCTGGCACCAGACTTGCTCTCCAATGGATCCTCGTTAAAGGATTTAGAGTGTACTCATTCCAATTACGGGGTCTCAAAAGAGTCCCGTATTGTTATTTTTCGTCACTACCTCCCCGTTCTGGGAGTGGGTAATTTGCGCGCCTGCTGCCTTCCTTGGATGTGGTAGCCGTTTCTCAGGCTCCCTCTCCGGAATCGAACCCTGATTCCCCGTCACCCGTTACGACCATGGTAGGCGCGTAACCTACCATCGACAGTTGATAAGGCAGACACTTGAAAGATACGTCGCCGGGACGAGCCCGTGCGATCAGCCCAAAGTTATACAGAGTCACCACAAAGTACGGACACGAGGCCCGATTGGTTTTGGTCTAATAAAAGCGCTCGTTCCCGAAGGTCGGAGCTCTGCTGCATGTATTAGCTCTAGAATTGCCACAGTTATCCAAGTAGTAAGGTACGATCCAAGGAACCATAACTGATTTAATGAGCCATTCGCGGTTTCGCCTTAATACGGCATGTACTTAGACATGCATGGCTTAATCTTTGAGACAAGCATATGACTACTGGCAGGATCAACCAGGTAACTTCAGCGTTCTTGCGAACGTTCGAAGTTTCAACTTCGAATCCGAAATATCACGAGACGCGACGTCTGGTCGCGGGGGATGCCTCGACTACGGAGGATCCCTCAGTGATTCTCGTTATAGACGGAGTTCTCAGTGCCTTCGGAAGAAGGTTCGCCACTCACAACGTCCCGGACGGCGTCAACGCCGCCGGGCGAGTTTCTTAGGCATCGAGATGCACTGTGCGCGGACACAGGTGCAGAAAACCAATCAATTCCTTTAAATACGGTTCTGCTCGTCGCGTCAACAGCACGGAGGCCGAGCCGCTCGCAGAGTTGCTGAGATAGTTTGGAATCGGCCCGAGAGGCTTGGAAACGAAACGTTGTCGTAGCCAACGGTGCCTATTTTCATAAATAATTTTCGCAGGCGAGTAGCAGGAAGCGACAGCCGTCGCTTATAAGCAGTGTCCCACGGTCTCGGAGGCAGCATTATTTTTCCGACACGTCGAAAACCGATAGCCGGAAAGAGCCGCCGTCAACAAAGAAAGAGCCGTATTCCCCCGGGATAGCCGCCAGGGAAAATTAGCCCGATCTCGTTGGTTGCCGTGACAGTATAGGGAGCCTCGCGAGATTACGACACCAATAAAAATGTGTGTTCTGTCTCGCGGTCGACCACTCTCATCAGCAGTCACCTGCTACTCATATAGGGCTACGGACAGTCCGAACACTTCCAGACGCACGCTTCACGCATGCGCGCTTCGGCAACCCTCCAACCGAAGGGAGAAGCTCGCCGGTGGGTAAAAGAGGAATAGCTGTGCACTCGCACCCCGCTCATGCCGAGGGCTTCGGCATGGGACACCCCGCTTTATGCGGTGGTCAACCCTCCCTACTTCGGACTTTGAAAAAAAAATGGACTTCCTCCCATTGGAATACGGGACTGGTCAGTTTGTCGTTTTTTCGCTCGCGAGGACACAGGATTGATAGGGACATTTTTTACAGGAACTTCACCCCTGTCTTCGTCGACGAGGTGAGATAGGGACAGTTGGGAATCTGGTTTATGGGCACGAATCGCAACTTTGAAATAAAAGGCGCGCATTTTCGTTCGTTGACACTTGTTTTTCATAAAAAAAACGCCACTTTCTATTTAAAGACTTTGTTAAATTTTTTTCTTGTTTCAGAATATATGCTTTTCCTATATATAATTCGAATTTCATTGAAGGAATTTTGTTATTAATATTTATGCAAATTGTGTTATGTTATTCCTTATAAACAATTCAGAAAAACATTAATAGATTATTCTTTATAAACAATGCAGAACAACTTAAATATTGTTGGAAATTTAAATTAATCTGTATAAACAATTCCGAAAAACTTTAATACTGTTATTTGCTTTTAATATTATTTAAACAATGCAGAAAAACGTTAAAATTTTCATTTCCTTTAAAATTAATCTTTATAAACAATTCCGAAAAACTTTAATAGTGGTTTTTCTTTTCAAATTACTCTTTATAAACAATGCAGAAAACCGTTAAAATTGTCATTTCCTTTGAAATTAATCTTTATAAACAATTCCGAAAAACTTTAAGACTGTTCTTTGCTTTTAATATTCTTTAAACAAAGCAGAAAACCGTTAAAATTGTTGTTCGCATTTAGATTACTCTTATAAACAATTCCGAAAAACTTCCAACATTAGTTCGCATTTATGAATCCTCATCAACAATTCGGAAAAACATTGTTGTTTCAGATTATATTAAGGTGGAAAAACTAAACTCCTGTTTTATGATGAATTCAGATTCTAATCGAACCTCGTTTTTGTGGAAATTTATCTCTTTAAACTGCTTCCTAAGTTTTGAAACATCATATAAACATGTCAAGCGAAACAGTTCATTTTAATGATTTATGAACTCTTTAGTTTGCTTCCTAAAAAATGTTATTTTATGGCAGAGTTTCAGAATTGTAGAACGTTACAAGTTTTGCATTTCCTGTTAATATGTTATTAAAAGCTGACATAAAATGTGCATATTCATTGCAATTAATCATGCCATTACCGTATGTTAACCTATCACATAATGTCAATACACATACCCTTCGAAATTCATCACTTGTAATGACCTACTTTGGAATGCTTCAACATTATAGCACAACAAAATTGAAATTTTAACACTGTTCATTGTAAATCAAGTCAATGAAAAACTCATATTCTTTCAAATAAAGACATCCCATCTTGAAATTCAATAGTTAATATTCCCCATTGTTGAATGCAGCAACAATCACAGATACGTAACCAAAGTATTTTTGGTTGTCCACCTAAATTGGGCGAAATTTATGAAATAAATCCTAGTTTCATGCTTCTGAAGATGGTATTAACTTATTTCATTAACATACCTCCAAAGTGGATCAATTTTCTGTAAATAAATATCTCATTTGTTTATTATATACAAAGGTTTCTTCAAGTTCACTCTTCTTTTCACATTGTACTTAGATGTAAACAAACTGAAATACAAATTTCCAGTTTGTGAATTCACAAATAACTGAAAAGATGGTGATTAAAACAAAAACCTATGAAGTACATATAACTTCCTATTCAATATCGGTTGTGTTTTCCTAAAGTGACAATGAAAAACTCATAAAAATTTATATTCATAATGTCACAAACAGGGAAAGACATGCTAAATGAGGTCAAATGCTGTTTCCATTTCAAAAATCAATGTCAATTGCCTTTTTATTAGATAACGGAACAAAAATTTTAACTCTTCGGAACCATTACTAACAGAGCATACTGAATACTTACCATGACATTTAATCAATGAAAATAACATTTTAACTATTGTTATTTGACTCGTATGTATGTTGAAACAAAAAAAAAAATGGTTTCTTTTTATGTAAGGGTGTTTATTTTCAGGATCATGCTCA